GAGGATGGGTTCACAGCGGCAGCCTTAGACGGTCTATTGGATCACGCTCCCGCGCCGCCGTCGGTCCCAAGGAAGGTTCGTGAAGCTGCGGCCCGGGCCTTAGATGGCGCTGGCCTTCGCTCAGGGCGTCGGGCTCGGCGCAAGATGATTCTAAAGGCTGAAAAGAGGAGAGGGGGAGCATTGGCCTTAGAGGTTTTCAGTCCGGCTAAGGTTTCGACGGAGCTGACTCGCCGCGGGCATAGGGTCTCTAGCGCCTTGGATCTTCTTACGGGTGTTGACCTCCTCTCCTCTTCGGGGCAGGCCCGTCTTTGGAAGCAACTGGAGGAGGGGGCGCCTCTGGTGGTGCTTATGACGCCCATGTGTAAAGCTTTCAGCGCGCCTCGTGCGTCCAACTGGGGGCGGATGGATCCTACTCGGGAGAGGGAGGAAGAGGTTCGAGGACTGGCCGCTGTGCAGCTTTGCGCGAAGATAGCCGAGTTTCAGTTGGCCAGGGGCAGGTTTTCGTTCTGGAGCACCTCTCCTCCTCGTCGTCGTGGAAGCTGGACTCGATTGGAGTAATCGCCGAGCGATCTGAAGTCTGGGTGGCCCGCCTGGACCAGTGTATGCACGTGCTGACCTTTGGGGACCTGGTCCCTGGCAAGGAACCTGCGACCATTATGTCCAACTCGCCCGAGATTCTTGCGCACTGTCAGCGAAGATGCTCCCAAGACCATCCCCGCGCTACTCTCCTCGGCGGCGCCAGGACAGCAGCCGCTGAGAATTTCCCGCGCGAGCTGATCGTGAGCCCGGCGTCCGGGGTAGAGGATAGCGCCTGGGCCTGTCACTGCAGGCGGACGAACGCGGGCTCAGAGCGTTTCTCCGCGTTCGAAGGGGGCCTGGAGTCCTCGGACTCGGAGGGCTGGACCTTTCCTGTTGAAGAAAGGGACCTTGAGGTCTCGGAGGCTTCTGAGGCCGAGGTCCCGGGGTCGAGCGAACGGGTCCCATCTCCGACTTCGGGTTCCACGGGAGAAGGCCTTGATCTAGGCCTGCAGAAGGAAATTGCGAGACTTCATGTCAACCTGGGTCACCCCTCCAACGAGGATTCTCTGAGGGCCCTGCGAGTGGCCGGCGCCCGCCTCGAAATGCTGCAGTGGATTAGAGACCACTTCAGATGCGATCAGTGTGCTTCGCGCCCCAGATCCGGATGGAAGCGAAGGGCTCGCCTCCCTCACCTATGCCTTTAATGAGGTCGTCGCCGTGGATCTCTTCTATCTCGAGATCCAGGGGAAGAGCGTGCCTGTAATAAATGTGATCGATCACGGGACCTCGTATCAGCAGTGCGCCCTTCTCCCAGACGATGCGGCGAAATCTACTTGGGCGGCGTTTCTTCGATGGTGGGTTCGCTGTTTCGGGGCCCCCGAGGTCCTCATGTTTGATGGGGGGGGGGAGTTTGAGGCCTGTTTTTTTGCGAGAGGTTGTGAGCACCTCGGTATTGTGCAACGCGTTATTCCCGCAAACTCGCCCCGCCAGAATGGCATGCGCGAGCGCCACGGCGGACTGGTCAAGGATGCGCTCTCTAAGGCTGCCCAGTCCGCCAATCCGATCTCCAGAGAAGAAACTGACGTGTTCTTGTGTGTGAGGTCGTGGCCGCCAAAAACCGTGGATTTCATCGGGGAGGTGTCGGCCCCTCTCAATTGGTGTTTGGACAAAACCCCAGGATGCCCCGGAGCTTTCTTTCGGATGACCCGGTAGATCTGGTTGGGACTGAGGACGTCTCCTCTCGGGCGATTGACCTGGGCGCGGCAGCCGGGGAGTTCGCGCGCCAGCGCAGGATCCGCGAGGAAGCTCGCAGGGCCTTAGCCAGTCTAGATGCTCGATCGCGTGTAGCTGAGGCCGCGAGGGCCCGACCGCATCTTCAGCGAGAGTTTCGCCCGGGAGACTGGGTATATGTTTTTAGGCGCCTGGCCGCTTCTAACCGTTCGCATTCACTGCAGAGAGACCGATGGACAGGTCCAGGGGTTGTTGTCTACCAAGCGTCGGGGTCTGGGGGAGCCAGCGCCGGGGGTGCGGTTTGGGTAGCCGTGCGAGCGAAACTGCTCAAGTGCCCTGTCGAGCAGGTGCGTTTGGCCACTCGGGCCGAGTCCCTCGGGGCTGAGCTTCTAGACAGTCCCACCTTCGATCGCCTGCGGGAAGAGCTTCGAAATCCCGGAAAAAGGGTCGGGGCCGTGGACGTGGCATCCGAGGGTCCCCCTCCTCCCGAGGCCGATGGCGCTCCCGAGAACGATCGCTCAGCCGATCCCATCGAGCAGGAATCGGCTAGGCGGCTCGCTCCGAGTCCGAGCGTCGGCCCGCGAGCTCGAGGTCTCTCCGACGACGCGAGGGCCCCGTCTGTTTCCGAGGCCTCCGGGCCGGGAGGGTCTTTGCTTCCTGGGGGCGGTTCGGCGTCCTCGGACTCTTCCCTGGGCGGCCCTCGTAGGCCCAAACCTCCTCAGGCCCCGGAGGCGATCTTAGCGGACAAGCGGCCTCGTCTTACCCCGATCGAGGAGCAGGAGGAGACCCCTTCCGTCAAGCAGCGAGTCGCGGCGATTGAGGAATCGTCCAAGCAGGCCTCCCCCAGTGCGGGTGCCGTTTCAAGCACCGATCCGCCCGCGGCGACAGTCGCCGATCAACCGCTTGCGTCCCAGGAGAGTTCCTCCCGTGAGACGCCGCTCGCGGCTAGCCCGGGGAGCTCTTCGGAGGACGTCCCTATGAGCCGGGCCTCGTTTTTGCCCTCGATCGGCTCCGGCCGCGATATTTCCGTGCTTCGAGCTCGGCGCCCTGCGGACAGCTTCCCCCCCCCTGGCAGACAGAGGAGCAGATCTCCGGACCGATCGGTGGGAGGGGACCTGGGGGCCTGGTTGGCGGAGTCGGCGGAACGAGCGGAAGCTGGCGAAGAGGATGGCTCTGGCGGCTGCCTGACGACTTCCAGGAGGACACGTTAATCCAGGAACTTAAGGACTGGTTTCGAGCGGGGGAAGCTCCCGCACTGCTTCGTTTTCTTACGGGCCTGGCTGAGTCCAGCGAGGCCGAGATGACCTTCGCTAGTGCACGCTCTAGCCAGCATCCCCCTCAGAAGTCCCGAGGGGCTGAGGTCCAGTTGAAAGATCTGACCCCCGAAGATCGCGCTCGCTTTGTGGTCTCCGACGCTAGGGAGCGGGAGGCGATGCTGGCAACGGGTGCTGTTCGTGTTCTCTCGCCTGGAGAGTCCTTGGATGTGCGTCGGCGCCACGCTGACCGCATGCTGTCTTCTCGAATGGTCCGACGCTTGAAGCCAGTTGAGGGAGTAGGGGCCCTCCCTGAGCCCAAGTCACGATGGTGCGTCCACGGACACCAGGATCCCGATAGCGAGTCCCTAGAAGTCTACGCCCCTACTCCCTAGTCGGAGAGGATTCTTGCTCGCCTGCAGGTTGCCTGCTCTTTCGGATGGTCCTTGGCCATCGCGGGCGCAAAGAACGCATTCTTTCAGAGTCAGAAGCTAGAGCGGCCTAAGGGGGCGATATAAGTCGAACCGTGCTCGGGCCTTCCTATCGGGCCGGATCAGCTGATCGAGCTTATCGCCCCCGCTTACGGGCTAAATGATGCTCCACTGCTCTGGCATCGGACTCTGACGGACTGGCTGAATGCCGAAGGCTTCATCAAGTCCCTGCTCGAGCCGTGCCCGTGGCTCCGCCGCGACGAGCTGGGAGCCCTCGTGGGTTTTGGTCTTGATCGAGGTCGACGATCTCATACTTACGGGGCGTTCCGAGTTTCAGGAAACTTTTAGGGATCGAGCGACGAATCGATTTAAGTTTGGGAAGTGGAAGGTGGGGGAGGCCGACTTCGCGGGCCGTCATCTGTGCCAGCTCAAGGGCAGAATTGTGGTTGACCAAGAAAAGTACATCTGGGAACAGTTGGCTCCGATGCCCTTGGAGAGATCCCGTCGAGCGGACCTCGACTCTCCTCTCTCTCCGGCTGAGATCCGATCTTACCGAGCCGCTATCGCCCAGGTGCAGTGGGTGGCTCGCGAGTCCAGGCCGGACGTGGCAGGCGGAGCCTCCATTTTAGCAGGTGCGATGCCGAATCTTACAGTGGGCCACGCAGTGACGCTGATCAAGGTATGCAAGTATCTTAAGGCGACCGCCTCGCAGAAGATAACGATTTGGGCCCTGGACCCCCTGTCCCTGACCTTCGTGACTGCGTCTGACGCCTCGGGCCCCGGTTCGGCGAGTCGCGGAGGCTCCCAGGGGGCCTGGATCGTCATGGCCGCGGATGCCGCGATCAGGGCCAATCAGCGGGCCCGAGTTTCCGTTTTGTCCTGGCGTTCCCAGCGCTTGAAATGAGTCATCAGTTCCAGTTTGGCCGCCGAGACCCTTTCCCTGAGCGGAGCCACTGCAGAAGCGCAATGGCTTCAGATTTTGTGGAGGGATACCGTTTTCGGCGACGTCAATCGACCGTCCTGGAACACGTGTGCCTCCCCGTTTTCGGTGGTGATGTCTGCGAACTGTAGTTTGCATGAGCAGGCGGCGTCTCTGTCGATCGTGGATGCTCAATCGGTCTTCGATACCCTCTCGAAGAATGCCGCCGGGTCTCGATCGGATCGTCGAAACGCTATCGAGCTGGCCGTGATTAGAGACTCCCTTTCCGCCACGGGCTCGCAAATTCGTTGGCTGCCCCGCGGCCGCATGCCGGCCGACCCCCTCGCGCATGCCGACCCTGCGAAATCGAACCTCGCCCTTCGCGACTTGCTTTGTCGGGGTGCCCTGTGTTTGATAGACGAGGGGGGGCACTTGGACGAGCGTTCACTAAACGTATCCCTGAAGACCCGATCTCGGGGAGCCAGTAGGAGAGCTCTGTTGGAGGAGGCCCAAAGGCGATGAGGAGGAGGCAGGAAGCACGAGGAGGTCCCCCGGCGAGGAGACTGAGGAGGGAGCTAGGAAGCTCGCGAAGATCCCCGAGGACACCAAGGAAGGCGAGGAGACGAGGGACTGATATTCGGAGGGAAGGCCCGGCGGAGGAGGAACCGGAGGAGGAGAGGAGGAGGTGCCCGAGGTCTCAGGGACGACCGGTCGCGCGGAGGCGTCTGGAGCTGGCGTCGTGCTCGGGGAGCTGCCCGAGGCCGGGCCCCATCCTGCATATGTGGCTCTACCGCAGTCGAGCCCGGTAAAGTTGGGTCCGCTGTCATCCTTTGCTTCCCTGAGGGGGTATCTCTCTACCCCGTCTCGCCCCTCTTCGTGCCCTCCTGCGTTGTATAGCCACTTTGGCTTAGGATACGACTCCGTGGAGTCACTGAGTTGATGCGTGGAGCCTTTCGATAAACAAGTTTATCTCCACACTAACCCTTTGTCTTTCCATTGGCCCGTCGACCCTGTGACAAGCTCAGGGCGTTCCCAAGACTGGCCCCACCGCCAACGGACCCTCTGTCAAGGACATCATGCCGGGAAATATCTATATGAATATGAACCGCCCCCTGAGCCAGGTGCTTGTCAAGTTCACAGGGCAGTCGTTCTTGATGTGGATGTGCTGTGCTTTCTTATCGAATATGTGTGACACGAGAGTGCCGTACCTAAAATGCTCAGCAGCAAGGTTGCAAGTCACATGTATCGTTCTGATTGCGCTGCCTGTATTGCAAGCCTTGATTCGGGCTGACTTGGGGAAAGAATTTTTTGAACATCGAGCGAGTTGGATGGCGCTTGTGCGTTCTCGTGAGCATAAGCTCGGCCCCACCCTTGTGGTGACGAGCCGCCTCGAGATATGCGACCGCTTGATGATGGATTTCCTAGTGAACCCGGTCTACCGAGGAATCATCGTTTTTACCATGCACTCCGTGTGTCTCTTCGAGACGTACCTCGATCTGGTCTTGAACGTCTTCGCACTGAGTTTTATCACGAAGCTCGACGAGGAGACTGGCGACATCACTGCTATCCACTTGCTCGACGATGAGCGCGACCGGCCAGTGCAGGGGTCGCCTCTCGGAGCGGAGGAACCCGTTGGTGAAGACGGTGATGGAGATCATCCGTCGCGTGCGGGAGTACGCTAGGGGAGAGGTGGTTTCAGATCCCGCTCCGGCGACGAGGAAGCTGCAGGACCGTTTTAAGCAGCTCGAGCTCTTTAACAAGCGGAGTTCATGCGGCGCCCTGTTGTTGTGGCTCGCTTGGCGACAGAAATCACGAATGTTCAATCTGCCACCGCGGCGCGGACCTGATGGTATAATGCCGCTGCACTTTCATGCCCTTTCCTTTCCAAGTGAGGCATCTTAACAATTCCGCTCTCACCTCCTCCCCCTGGGGCGCAGACTCGGTCAGAAGCCAGAAGCATCGGCCCATTCTCTTACCTTCGCAGGTCTCTACCACGCCTCCGCCGACGGGGGGTCGGGTGTGGGGCCCTGGACCCACGCGCGCGCTGCGACAATCTTTTACCTCCGTAGCTCCACGCCTCGCACGGGGACGCATTGAGGATGCAGCGCTGCTGGGAGAGAGACAAAAAAACATGCCGCCGAAAGCCTCTTGGAGGCCCCAAGAGGTCCGACGATTACCCAAGCGGCCCCCAGGACCCCCCCCGAAAGGCCCCCCAATGAGCAGGGAACCTTTCGCGTGACTTGATTTCGGGCCCTGTTTCGGTCCTTTCCCGGCGGCCTCCCTGGGGAAGCTCTGCTGGATCCCTCGTCCCTTCTCCTCGTCTTTCCCTCTGAGGGTGATCCCCCTGGGGCGTACCTTTGGGCCAGCGGCGTCGCCGCCGTGTCGTCGTTTTGGCCCGAGGGGACTCGGGGGCGTCTGTTCTCTTCCCGCTCTTCCATCCCTCCTCTCTCGTCCCTCTTCCTCTCCGTCCATCTTTCCCCCCTTACCCCTCCACTGCTCGCCCTCTTCCATCTGTGCCTGCGCGAGGACAAGATGAGGAAGCAAGGAGGACGAAATCGGCGGGGAGGATGAGTATGAGGAAGAGCGGAGAGAGCAGAGGGATTCTGAAAAGAAAGGCGAGGAGGCATGAGACCAATGGGACTATGGCGTGGAGCGTGGACATAATATGAGCATGGGGCAACCGAAGCGCGCGTGGTTCTTGTCCACACCACGTAAAGTGCGCATCAAGAGTGCACGAGCCCTGTTCTAAGGTCCACGCTGGCAAACGTGGTAACAGCGAAGGCGGTGTTCATGGAGGGTATGAGTTCAAGAAGGAGGAGGGGGGGATAGTAGGGGGGCGGGGGAGGCAGGGCTGAGGCTCATCGCCGGTGGGGATACTACAAAAGGAGGACCCTCCTGTGGCAGCTCGTCCTGCCCAAGATAAGTGGCCTCTTGGCCAGAGGATCCCAGGGGCTCTGAGCGGTTTCTGTGCCTCTGCTCCGGCCGTTGGTTCTGAAGTCCGACGTCGCGGCATCCGTGGGATAAGGCAAGCACGTGAGGATGCCCTTCGGATGTTCTGATGATTGCGATGTTGGCATGCGATGGACAAGGTCTTGGATGCAGGGGGTGTCATGCGGACGTCATCAAAACGAAGTGGAGTTGATTGCACCAGGGTCGCAAGCAATGTCTCGGGGGAATGCTTTCTCGGCGGATGTTCTCCATCGCGATCGTCCGTGGGTATTTTGAATGGTGCAAGCATATTCTATCCAATGCCGATGGAAAGCAGACGGAGGTGCGCGCTTGGGAAATGCACCTGTGCCCATGCGGAGGTCGGCTTATGTCGCGGAGCCGGTAGCGACGTTCAACAAGGCGGCGCACATTGCTGAATCCTCGAACTCAGAGCATCAAGTAAGGTGCCGTGAGACCAGCGCAGGATCATACAGGAATTTGCGCAGACACGTTCGTACGTGTCCAGGTGTGGAGGCACTGTTTTCGAACGTTAGGTGTTTCATCCACAAGCTTACATCGTGCTGCGGCAGTCATGCACTCCTTGGCCGCCCTCCCCTCTCTAAGCAGCGCGTGTCGACGAGACATCGTTTGCTCTGGGGAAGGGGAAGGAGGAAAATAAGAAAGGGAGGAGACGGAGGGAGAGAGAGAGAGAGAGAGAGAGAGAGAGATATATAGCGAGAGAGAGAGAGAGAGAGAGAACGAAAGAGAGATCATTGCGAGGAGTGAGAATGGAGAGGAGAGAAGAGGAAGGGAAGCGAGGATGATGGTGGATGGGGTGACATTGGTGGAGTGGGAGAGGAATTATGGGGGAGGGAGGTGATTGCGGAAAGTGAGGAGGCGATACGTCTTCCTTCTTGCCTTCTTAAAACAACATTCTTGACGATTCGTGTATCCCCACCAGCCCATCCAGACGCGATTGGAGGTTTCTTGAGGCCTCTTGGAGGCTATCTCGAGTCGTGTTGGCTAGAGGCTGTCGGAGGCTATCCTGAGCCATGCTCAGCTATCTTGGATCATCTTGAGGCTGTCTTGCGGCCTCTTGGAGGTCTGTCGGAGGCTATCTTGAGCCATGCTCGACCTCCTGGGTTGGGGGTAGGAGGAAGAGGAGGACGAGGACGAGGAGGAGGATGAGGAGGAAAACAAGAAACGGAGGAGGTGGATGAGAGGGAATAATCTGATGATGATGCTGATGATGATGATGATGATGCTGATGATGATGATGATGATGATTGCGATGCTAATGATGATGATGATGATGATGCTGATGATGCTGCTGATGATGATGATGACGATTGATTTGATTGATGATTTGATGGTGGTGAATGGAAGTGGTGATGATAGAGCTTTGACTGATGTGATGAGGATGTGATGATTTCAGGTGATGATGGATTGATGTGACGATGATGATGATGATGCTGATGATGAGTAGTAGGAGGATGAAGGAGGAGGAGGAGGAGGGAGGAGGAGGAGGAGGAGGGCGGACGACGACGACGACGACGATGTGATGATGATGTGATGATGATGATGTGGTGTGTGATGATGATGGATTGATTGCTGCTGCTGCTGCTGATGATGATGGATGCTGATCGGTGGTGGTGGTGGTGGAGGATGCAGCTGCTGCTGCTGCTGCTGCTGCTGCTGCTGCTGCTGCTGCTGATGATGATGATGATGATGATGATGATGATGATGATGATGATGATGATGATGATGATGATGATGATGATGATGATGATGGTGGTGGTGGTGGTGGTGATGATGATGCTGATGGCGGTGATGATGAGGAGGCGGAGGAGGAGGAGGAGGAGGAGGAGGAGGGGGAGGAGGAATGCTGCACGAGGAAGATGAGGAAGAGGAGGAGGAGGAGGAGGAGGAGGAGGAGGAGGAGCAGGAGGAGGAGGAGGGGGAGAAGGAGGAGAGATGATGCAGTAAAGGAGGAGGGAAGGAATGGACGATGACAAGGAGGATGAGAAGTCGGGCTTTGGAGGTATCTTGTCGTGAGAGGTTCCTGAACGACGACCAAGGCCATCTTAGGGGCTCTCTTGGGGCCCCCGTGGGGCGTCTTGGGGCACTCTTGGGGCCCTCTTGGGGCTCATTATGGGGGTCTTGGGGACTTCTTGGGGCTCACTGGCGGGGTCTTGGGGCCCCCATGGCTCAAACAGAGGGGGAGTGATTAGTTGAGGTTCCCCATTTGGAGGCTCAACAATGGCCTTTTGGGGCTCTCGTGGGGAGCTCTTGGGGCGCTCGTGGACGCTCTTGGGGCCCTCTTGGGGCCCTCTTGGGCCTCTCTTGGGGCTCTCTTGGGGCTCTCTTGGGCCGTCTTGGGCTTGAAGCCTCAAAAGCCAATCGGAAGCGATAGGGTTTTTGAAGATTTTGGCCTCATGGAGGATTCTTAGGAATGCTCGAAGGACACTTAGAACCGTCTCGGGGCTGCCTTGGGGCCTCTTAGAGGTATGTCGGAGGCCATCTTGAACCATGTTCGACTATCTTGAGCCATCTTGGAGGCCATCTTGGGTTTTCTGAGGCCCTCTTGAGCAATGTTGGACCGAAAAAGCACCCTCCGACACCTCGCGGGGCGCCCCGTCCAAATCCAGGGTGGGGTGGGTGGGGGAGGGGCAAGCCCCTCCCCCGAGCAGGGGAAGGAGGGATTTCGGCAGAGAGAAGAGAAGACTCGTGAAACCACCTACAGGCGGCCCAGATTAGTAGGTCGACTGTGCGCTCAGAGGACTGGTGTGATCCTTCGTCGCGCCACCGTGCGTGCGGTCGGGCGGGCCGCGCGTTTCGCCCGATGTTGTCTCGCAGGCTGTGATCCCGAAGCTTGACTTTCCCGCCAGGCATGAACAGTGGGAAGCCGACCCCACAAGTATGGATTTTACTCGTCAGCGTTTTGCATTTACGGCGAATGAGCGTAAGTGTAGGTGCCCTGTCGGCGAGACCATTGCCAGCTGCCGCAGGGGGCCCCGCGCGCGCGGCGACGTCCCGGGCCCGCTCGACGCGGCCGCGCCCGCGCCGGCGTTCCCAGGGCGGCGCGGATGGAGAGCCTGGTCGTTTCAAAATGTGGTTCTTGCTTTCGCGCCGCGCGCAGTAGTTTTGCGAGCTTCTACAGTGATTACACGGATGGATGGATGGATGGATGGATGGATTTCAACATGTTGGTTTCGTTTTTGCATTTTTGTGCATTGGTCCCACGAACTTCCAGCAGTAGCACGGGTGGTCTTGGGTCGTGTGGGGTGGGTGGGGCGGGGTGTTTTTTTTCACCATGTGGTTGTGATCTTCGTCTCAGGGGCTTGCAGTTACACGGAGAGATGGCGTTTTTGTTTCTCAAGCAGTGCCTCTCAAACCGGGGCTCTGGCCCGAGACCAGCAACATGTACGACATTCACGTGGAACATGCCAAGCGTTTGCATGGATGGGGGGACCTCGCTTGACCCTTCCTCGAGCTCTCGGATCGTACGTCTTGGTTACAGGCATGGAGGGCGGTCCCTTGGCCCGAACGGTGGGCCCGCGAGGCGCTCGCCTTTCACAGGGGCGCTCACCGTCGAGGGGGGATTCGGACGGGGGAGTGTATCGTGGCATCGTTCCTTCATCCAGGGTTTACTCAGGCCCTCCCTCTTGCGCGAGAGAGGCAGGGTCTGAGGTATCTGCTCCCAACGACTGGGAGGAACGCAACCGCAGCGTAGAGGAAGCCACCACACGCCCCGTCGCAACATAATGATGTTCGGCGGCGTCCAGGCCCGTCTCCTCTGTGCGGGTGAGCTGCACATGCCCAGGCGGCCCACGCCTCCTCCTCCTCCTCCTCCTCCTCCTCCTCGTCCTCCTCCTCGTCTTCCTTTTTGCACCACTGTGGGGGGCGCCATCCCACAGTGGGCAAGCGACAAGCCACACGCGAAAAGAAGGTGTGCGCATTGAATCGCGGCAATATGCATTGGTACACCGCCCACAGGTCTTCTCCGATAGCCACACCCAGGTTTCCTCTTTCTGACCGCAGCCGACCTCTTGTGGCAC